AATGCTATGGAAAGATGAACGCGGTAAATCTATCTTTATCTAGGGGTTGACGGTCTCTAATACGCGCGTGGTGCATTTAGTCTCCTGAAATCCAGCAGATTTATTATATTTACGGAGGGAAGAGCCATGGATCATACGTGGGAGAATATTCGGTATATTGCGTGCACCTACTACTGCAAAATATCCAAATATACAGGGAAGTTTTTGTTTTTGTTTACCGGTTTACGGCACTGCGCTTCACGGCGACCGGTGCATCGCCGGCTGCGAGGCACATACGAGGTTTGCCGATGAATCAATATGCCTGTTGGTCGATAATGTTTGGAATGAAGTAGATACAATTTACAGATCACAGGAGGCGTTGAAAATGCTGTCCCTCTACACGTATATATCTTTCACAATTAATTGTTTCGTTAAAAAACACAGGTCCAACAGTCCTTCTTGCACCAGACACCAACTTTCATTGGATAGAGAACTTCGTGGGTTAGATGTGGATTCTGTGAAGTCCAGTAGTGATTATTTTGCGTACTTATGTATCCCTGCAAGTGAAACCACGCTTCGTCAAGAAGAATATCCGTTGCGGGTAGATCTCACATTCGACGACAGACTGTAGAAACCAACTAAAAAAATGAACCCTGCTAGCTGGATCGCGCGGCTGCAAGACGTGCGTGAATTACTGTTGTTTTATACAGTCTAAGCTTCAGCAATTGTGTTGCCCTTCTTGCACTAGACTTTGACATTCCAGTCTCTTGAGCTAGACGTTTCAGTGATTTTCTAGGCGTATGTTCAAGTCTGGCTCATATGTTATCCAACTTCTCCTCAATAATCACTCGACGCTTATGTTTTTTTTGTTAAAAGTCCAATTCTTCTAAGTTTATTCACCAAATTGTGAATTGTTTGTCTGCTGGGAGTTCTTTACCACGAAATTAAAGTCGAAATTCTCGCCTACAATTTCTAGCAGATCCGTATTTCACATAGGTGTCTTATAAAAATGTACGTTGCTCTGAAGTATACCTCACCATGATGGAACACACTGCTTACCAATTGTAACTGAGAACAGATGGATGATGGAGGTGATAATTGCCGTCCATTGTTGAAATATAAAGAAATTTCCACTCATAAACCGCACTGCTCACCGTGAAACTTAATGCCGTCAAGCTGTCCACGAAGTTAAAAATTTCCCTTAGTTCGAAATGTTATCGTCCATCAGGCATACTGATTGATCGGCAAAATCCGTATGCGTCACGCAGCTGGCGGCGCACCGGTCGCGGTGAAGTGCAGAACCGTGAACCAGGAAACAAAAGTAAGAACCCACTCTATTTTTCCTTTTGATTTATTTTGTGTTGTCCTGTATAGAAACTTTTTAACTGGCCGATCACTTATACCAAATCTCTCTCCCTATATTTTTTTTGTAGTAGCAAGTTAAAGCTCTGAAATTACGCAATGTCAGGTTACCGTATCAAGGAATTGCCGAACATTGTATGGATGCAGTTATGTAGTATGTCACGAATGAGTGAGTAGTTTTTGTTTTCTAATAAGGAATGGCTTTCTCTGTAGTCACGTCTTAACAAACAGGATTGTGGTGTTATTATCAGTGTCCTATTGATTTCAGCGGGCCGTATTTGAGTAAACTCCAGTCGTATATGCCACCTGTTAATTTTAAGTGTATTGAACGACAAAATGACCAATCGTTTGTGGAGTATATGTAGCTCTGATGCCGTTAGCCACTTGGATATTATACCCTGCTACGTAGGGAATGAACAGGAATATATTAGATATGACTTGAGAGTCCAATGGTCTGTATATCTTTGGAGAAGGTCTATATGGAATGTAGTCTATTCTTGTTTTAATTTGGCTGTAAAGAACTTCCCTGATGTGGCCAATGTCAATATTTCCTGAGCTTAAAAATGCTTTATTAATGCAGTACGTAGAATCAATTACAGATGATCTCTTTCCTGAGTTCTCCATAATCAGTGATATAATACCTGTAAGCTGTTTCAACACAGCTGTATGTTACTCACGTTGCATTGTATTATAACAAGCCTCAAGGCTTGCCTGCTTCCTCTGAATAGTTCTGTTTGAAGCTGTATTTATATTTGTTAGAATAAAAAAGGAGCCGGGATAGCGTAGTCGGTATAACGACTGCCTACGGGCTGGATGACCCGGGGGTCGGAGTTCAAGTTCCGGTGGGGTAAAAATTGTCACTATTACATGTCGTCCTGACCGGTCCTGGGGTCCGCCCAACCTCCTATCCAATGGATACCGGGGCTCCTTCCCCCAAAGGTAAAGCGGCAGGGGCGTGAAGCTTACCACTCACCTTCAGATAGTGCCGAGGTGCTAGCGCCCTATACATCTTCGTTGAATGGTGCTTAATTGTTTAAGGACAGGGACAACTTTACCTTTTACCTTGTTATGTACAAAGGCTATATATAGAAATATCGTAGGAGCTTACCAGACAGTGAAATGGTTAATGATGACGGGAACGTGGTGAGTCAATCGTGTGTAAGTGGTTATGTGCGCATGCAAGAATAGGTTTTGCTAACACGTTGAACTAGCGGAATCCTGGCGTGATGTTCCATTCTCTGTATTAGGCAAGCGCCAAGCCAAGCACCAAAGCAGACAACTCCTCTGACTCATTGGAGAAGCATTTCTTCGTAGAGATGCTTGGTCTGGCTGCATGAGCCCGCTTTGCTTGTTCGCAGAGGGAGATACAAAGAAAACAGGTATGGGTTGGATTACTTTAGCATGAGTCCCAAATCTCTGGTAGCTTCAACTTCCCTTCCGGCAAGGTCGACTCGGTTTCTAGTTCATAAAGTTTGGCTTCTGCCGTTCGTCGGCTTCTGTGTCCCATACAAGGTTACCGGTAAAATTGTCGAGGTATGCAGTTTGTGTGTGCATGCGCGCGTGCATAATTTGCTGAACAGCAGATACTTTTAAAAGTGCATGTTAACACAGTAGCCTCTCGTTCGGTATAGTTCGCTTGCAGACTACAGGCATCGGAGTTTTTTTATGTTAACGCAGTAGCTGTGTGTTGGGTTTCTGTTCTAGAGGCGCTCGGTTTGAATGTCTCTCAAGACGACAATTTAAAACAGGTTTCCTCCGTCTTATCCTTCTTACTCAGTTCTTTACAAACCACTCTTGCGTAATCTGCATATCTGTAGCCATTATACAAACACCGAGTAGGTTGGTGTCGCAGTAATACTCGTTACTCATATCCGGGAGGTTTAGGTTCGCATCTCGGCTGGGACACCAGCTTTCTTCGCTGAAGGGTTTCGTGGTTTTTCGGAGTCCCTGAAGGCATATGGCAGCTTAGCACATATTTTCGGCCACGGCCGCGTCGTTCCGAATCATTCCCATTTCATCAGTTTTTCATCCTATCATTTGACGCCGTATAACAGACGTGGCCAATCTGTGGCTCACGAGCCGCATGCGGTTATTTTGAACCGTTAATGCGTGTCGCAGAAAAATAAGTTTTTTTTTTACAAATTAGTTACATGTAAAAAAGCTGCTCCGTGGAAAGCATGAACCCAAACAGATATCATTCTATTCGCATCTGCTTACAACTCCCGAACTTGTGAAGATTATTAGTATATTCGGCTCCTGTAGTTCAGTACCCTTTTGTCGTATAGTCTAGGTCAGGCATGTCAAACTCAACTTGTACAGAGGGCCACCTCAGCCCTATAATTAATAGTCCAGGGCCGCACTTCAAAATAGAAATATACATTAGATTTTGATACAAGGAAATTTAATTCTATTTATTATTTAGGAATAATTTCAATATAATTACCTAAAGTCACATATCTTATTGTTTTAAAAAGCAAGAGAATGCCATTTTTGACAAGTATCAAACAACTTTTCAATATGTGAAAAGAGATATTACACAAGAAATTATGTTAGAAATAGCAAAACATTGAATTAATAACATCAAAATTACATGTGTCGAACTTCATACGTAAACTGTTAACTTGGAAGACAAAAAACCAACAACTATATCGTTTCACTTTAATATCGTTAATAATATTGTGACATGTTGCGCAACATGTTTAGACACTGAAGACGCCGTAGAGATTGTTAATTGCTTTATTTAACAACCTACCAGTCTCGGCTACAATTATTTATAACACAGTTGCGGGGTTTCACACTTTATAACCCTATTCGCAATAATCTGTTCACTTTGTTGCGGGGTTTCACAATTTATAACCCTATTCGCAAATCAGTTCACACTGTCTTCAGTAGTCTACACGTTTTTACAGTACGGGAGCTGTACAAGTGTAACTATATCACATACTCCCAATTATTACTCGGTTATCACGAACTATCACTGATTCTCGCACACACGTCCGTAACTCGTAACTTGCGAACTGAGAACTAACTGCTGGCTAACTCGGAACTAACTGTGAATAGTCTTCGCTGCTCCGTATCTAGCCTCGTTCCGGACAACACAGAAAACAGCCACGTAATAGGCACCACTGTTGTCTGACGCCGTCGTGCTAGCAACGCTGTGTACCGCTGTTATTACCGTCGTCTCTCGCAACCACTGTTGTCTGCCGCCGTGGTAGCCGATAGCCTAGCAACACTGTTGGGAGTTGTTTACCGCTACGTAGTAACTGCGGCGTCCCGCGTTACGTCACCGCTGTTGACTCGCGTTGCATAGCGACCAGTATGCTTGGACTCTGCTAACTTCGGCTCCGCTCGGCTTACATCGGCTCCGCTCGACTCGTTTCCGCCGCCGGGGGGGGGGTGTCCTGCATAGCGCGACACGTCACAATATTATTCATGAATGAATTAAATTACCAGTTCATTGTTTTTTTGTCTATTAAGTCGCATGTTTATTCGGTTTGTTATTAATTCAATGTAGTCAGTCAGTGTGTTTCTTGAAATATTCGAATGGTGATGATTGATGAAAAACTACAAAAACAATAAAAATTGCTACATAACCAAATGAACATTTATTAAACTACTTACATTACTGGTTTGTACTTGAGAACTGACATCTTTTCCAGGATACAAGAGAGTTAATGTCAGCTACTTGACTCTGTGAAGATGCTATTTTTAGGATGGAAGACAAATGTTCTGCTGTGAGTCTTGATCTGTGCGTGGTTTTGGTTGCCTTTACAAGCGAAAATAACTGTTCACAGAGGTAGGTGGAACCAAACATGGCCAGTATTCTCGCAGCAAACTGGCGCATTTTAGAGTACTGGCTTGGCAAATAAGAACAATTCGAGGGATACCAATTTAATTATATTTGTCTTTCAGTATTGAATCACACTGCATTTCAATTAGTTCCATTTGAATGCTACTATCTGCCTTCTGAACATCGAATGAGAATGGAGCAGTAAACAAAGAGAAATCGTTCTCGCACGATTTGAAATCTTTAAACCTATTTTCAAAGTCATTAATTAAGTCCTTTATTTGGGTAACATAACTGGTAAAATCAGAATTACTGTGGGACTTTTTGAAATCCTGGCAGGTAGGAAATTAAATTAAGTTGCCATTCTTCATCTGTCCTTCCCAAAGTTTGAGCTTTAATTTAAAAGCCTTAATACTGTCATATACTGAAACTGCAAGCTGTCTTTTCCCTTGTAGCTTTAAATTTAAGTCATTTAAATGACAGGTAATGTCCACCATAAAGGCCAAATCCTGAACCCAATTATCGTCACAAAGTTTGTCGGGTGATTCGCCTTTCAGTTCCAAAAAAATCTGAATTTCTTCTCGAAGAAGCCAAAAGCGCTTTAAAACACTATAACACGAAAGCCAGCGAACTTCTGCAAAGTACGGTAGACTCTCAAATTCACATCCAATGTCACTAAGTAAAGAAGAAAACTGACGTTGATTCAGTCCCCGAGATCGAATAAAATTTACTACTTTCCTCACAAAATGCCACACATGATTCATTTTTATGATTTTTGAGCACA